CCTCCCCAGCCCCGCCGGCTTCCCGCGGGCGGCGCGGCACTCGGGCAGCCGCGCTCGCTCGGAGCCAGCAGCCGCGAGCCCGGGAGTAGGGGCCATGGGCTGCGACGGCCGCGTGTTGGGACTGCTCCGCTGCAACCTGCAGCCCACGCTCACCTACTGGAGCGTCTTCTTCAGCTTCGGCCTGTGCATCGGCTTCCTGGGGCCCACGCTGCTGGACCTGCGCTGCCAGACGCACAGCTCGCTGCCCCAGATCTCCTGGGTCTTCTTCTCGCAGCAGCTCTGCCTCCTGTTGGGCAGCGCCCTCGGGGGCGTCTTCAAAAGGACGTGAGTGCCGGCCTGCGTGCCCCCGCCCCGCAGCCCCCAGCTCCCTTGCCGCCTCTCCTGCCGCCCCTCGGCACCGCGGCACGGACCCTTCCTTTCCCGCCGCCGCGCTAGTCCCAGCGGGGCTGCCAGTCGCCTCTGCCTACTGGCCCGGTGACCACCCCTCCCGGCTCTGACCCTCTTCCGCCGCCTTAGCCGAAGGCCTGCCTCCCTCCCCCACCCCAGCTCTCCCCGGAAAACTCCTGAGACTGAAGGTGACTTCTGGATTATTTATTTTCCTTCTCTCACCCCTGAGAGAGGGTGAAACCAGTTCTCAGCCCGCTTCTCCCACCCCTCGCCTCTGGGAGAGAGGGAGCGATGGAGTTTGCGGAGGTGGGGGCCTCTCTCGCACAGCGGGTCTGAGGTTTGGTAGTGGCCCCTGCTGCCAGGGGCGGAATTGGAAGTGAAGCGGAAGGCGAGTGGGAGTGTCACCCCAGTGGCAGTGCTGGGTGCCAGAGCTGGCCTGCGGCTTGACAGAGCTGCTGGGCGGGGGCTCCACCCAGGTAACAAGCTCCAGGTCAGCTGTCACAGGCTGTCCCTTGCCCGGGTGGCCATGGAGTTGGTGGGTCCTGTGTGGTCCTGGCTCACCAGGACACCCTTCCTGCATGGACCACTGCCCAGGAGGCAGAGCCCTTCCACCTCTGAGACGCGCAGGACCTCGCTGCTAGGGCCAGGTTTGGGAGGCACAGGTGTCTCACCCAGGGCTCTGTAAGGTGACCCTCCATCCCAGGTGTCCCTCCTGCTCCCTGCTGATGTTACTTCTCTCTGGCATGGCCCCCAGAGATACCCCTTTGCATACCATTCTAGAGCCTCAGTCGCATTGGACAGGGCAGCCTTGGAGAAGGCATTTTCACAGGCCTCATCTCTCCTCCTCCATCCTCCTCCACAGCCTTTTTGGAAAAGCAGCAGGATTCAGTCTCCCAGTGCAGATGGGAAAACAGAGACCCAGAGTGGGGGAATAGATGACGTGCAAGCCAGAGGCTGGTGCACTGAATTCTCTAGTCCCAGCTCCTGGCCAAGTGGTTTCCTGGATTGCGTGGACTAACGCAAGCAGAGGGCCTTAGGAAGAAACCACAGCTGGGCTATCCCGAGAAATGTCTGGAGGGACAATTCTGGGCCAAGCCGCAGGCCAGAACTGCCCCTGAGCTGTCACTCCCACTCTCCATCCTGTTGCCATCAAGTCGATCCTGACTCACAGAGACCCTAGAGGGCAGAGTAGAACCGCCCCATAGGGTTTCCAAGGCTATAATCTTTACGGAAGCAGACTGCCACATCTTTCTCCAGTGGTGCAGCTGGTGGATTCCAACCGCTGACCTTGAGGTTAGCAGCTGGGCACTTAACCACTGCGCCACCAGGGCTCCTTCACAGTCTCCATGAGAGTGGATTTTCCACTCCACCTTGTCAGTGCAGGTGGAGAGGAACACAGGTGTCCATACAGAGGGACCCCACCTTAGGCCACCCAAATTTACAAAACAATACTCATTAGGGGGTGCTTTTCCCATTACCAAACCATCTTATAAGTAGAATTCTCTTAAATAGCAAATAGCCTTGTGTGCACTCATGTTTTTGTGGGTTTGGCACAGGATTTTTGTGAATTTTGTAGGGGGATTCGGAAGATCTTAAGCTCAAGATCCATTTTGCCTAGAGGCTTAATTAGAAATGAAGATAAGTATCTCTAAATATCAGGGTGCTATTTCCCCCCTAAAGTATTTTGACTTACAAACTCCCTTACCCGGAACTTTTTAGGAATATGTGTAGTGCAAAGAACAGGATGGGAAATGAGGATAATTGGAAATGGCAGGTTGGTGAGCCTGGTTTTGCGAAGGCGGCAGAGATGCACACCCATCTTCCTCTCTAGCTTATTACTTCCGAGGGGTTCCTTACTCAACGGGGGGCTCTGCACCAGCAGTGGAGAGGCCCAGCAAGAGGAAGCTGGCTCTCAGAAAGAAAGATGACAGCGGTAACGATACTAACTCGATTGAGCACGGACTCTGCTGGCCATTGTTCTTAGTGCTTTGCATGTATCTACTCATTTAAGCTGAAGAACAACCCTGTCAAAGAGTACTATTATCTCCACTTTATGCATAAGGAAACTGAGGCACGGAGGGATTGCCCAGCTGTTAAGAAGCCTAGCTTACATTTGTACCTAGGTATTTGTCTCTAGAACCAGATACTTTGGAAATGCTTCTCGCTTTATAGTCAGCTTCAGCTCTGCAGATCAGACACAGGCCTGGGATGAGTATCCCTGAGTTTCCACACTCCTGGGAAGGACACTGTGGGCCTCTGGGGCTTCCTGCTGGGATCAGAGGCCCCCTAGGTCCTAGCAGTGGTTCAGGTTTAAATTCTGAACCTCCATCCCCCACTCGCAAAGCAAAATGCCATAAAGAACGGTTTCCTTTGGTTAAAAGCAAAGCAGACTTGCAGTGGAAATGGAGGGATCCCACGGAGGGGGCCTTTTGTGTGGACAGAGTCCACTACTACCTAGCTAGTGCTGAGAAGCCCATCCTAATCCCCCCAAACAAACAGAACCTCCCTCAGCACTAAAACCGGCCTCTAAAGCCTGGTTCCTTGGGGCCTCATCACTTCTCAGTTCAAATGCTAATACCCCTGGAAGTGATTTTCAGCTTAAGTGATTACTCGCTAGCGTGAGCTAGGCTGGTACTTGTGAGTGGGGGATTGGTTTAACAAATCTGCGCAGGACAGCTGTTGCGGAGGAGTTGCGGGGAGTGCAGGATGGCACACCAGAGAGGAGAGTGGGGCCTGCCTCTTTCCCTCGGGTTCCTGCTCGGGCCCTGCCTACTGCCTGACCCAGATGAGCCCCCAGGCTGACAGGAGCTTCTGAACGCCACCATAGGGACAGGCCTTGGAGGGACTGTGCGGGGAGAAATCCTACCAAGAGCATCGCATGTTAGGATGGGTACAGGGGAGGATTTGAGCCCTCTGCTCAGGGTAGCCCCAGCCTTCTTTCTCCTTTTGTCTGTCTGTCTCTCTCTCTTTCACGCTCTGTATTTGGCTCTGGGTCTTCTAGCTTATACAGAGACCTTGAAGGAGGTCACCACATGCAGGCCAAGAAGGAAAGGGGTGCAATTAGGCTACGAAGAATTTGAACTAGACCTTCCTTAGAAAAACCTTGCTTACCACAAGCAGGAAAATTAGAAGAGAAAAAACAAAAGCCACCTGGTTGGCAAGGTGTATAAGTATGTGCTTTGTCAGACTGGAAAGGGGAGGTGGTATTTAGAGAAGAGGTTAGTTTTTTTCCTGGTATACTGGGGACCTGTCTAACCACTCAGGCAGCTGGGAGACCCCGTTATCTCAGAGGCATCAGGGTAGATAAAGGGCTTTCAGATCTTCCACAGTCTTCTCCTAGCCTCTCCTGGGCCTTTCCCCGGCAGCTACTCTCTGCACTGAAAGCTTGTTGGGTTCTTCCTCTCTTTGCCCCATTCACAATCTCCTGCTCAACCTTTCTTTTTTCTCAAATTCTTATCAGCCTGCAAGTCCTGCCCTGCCCCAGCCCCAGCTGTGACTCCCTCTGTTCATTGCATCAAATCCAGTCTCCCTCACACTGTTTCCCAAGCCACTCTCCTGGCAGGGGGCTCTGCTCCCGCAGTCCTCCTGAGCACTGACCTGGTGGCCCACTGATGCCCTGCAGTTGCCAGCACGTGACACAAATGCAATTCTGTCCTGAGCTGGGCTCTGGTTGGTCTCCCCAGCGAGAAAGCTTCTGCTGGGTAGCGGGTGGTGTTTTTTTTTTGTATAAGTGTATCCCAAATATTGCATAGGACATATTTGTGCTAAACAAATCATTTGTTGTTTGTCTGGGGTTCAGGCTGAACTGGTGAGTATCCTGTACTTTATCTGACAACCCTAAAAGAGAAGAAGAAGAAGGTCTCTGGTCTCCTTCCAGCAGCTTGTCGGCCCTTTAGCACACAGCAAACCTGTACCAACAGCCTCCTAGGTACCCGCACCATTCATGGTCCTTGCTTTACAAATCCGTCTCAACATAGAGTTACCAAAAACCCAAGCCCACTGCCGTTGAGTTGATTCCAACTCATAGCGACACTATAGGACAGAGTAGAACTGTCCTATAGGGTTTCCAAGGCTGTTTTATGAGAGCAGGTTGCCACATCTTTCTCCCCTGAGGTGGCTGGTGGGTTCGAACCACAAACCTTTCAGTTAGCAGCCAAGCCCTTTAACCACTGTGCTACCAGGACTCCTTGGAGTTAATCATATGACCCAACAATTCCACCCAAGAACGGAAAACATGTCCACACAATAACCTGTACACAAACATTCACAGAAGCATTATTCCTAATAGCCGGAAAGTGAAAACAGCCCAAATGGCCATCAGCAGATGAATGGGTAAACAAAATGGGGTAGATCCAGACAATGGAATATTACTCATTCATAAAAAGGAATGAAGTGCTGATATATGCTACAACATGAACTTCGAAAACATGCTAAGTGAAAGACACCACAAAAGGTCACATATTATCTGATTCCATTGGTATAAGATGTCCAGAATAGGCAAATCTATAGATGCAGAAAGTAGACTAGTGGTTGTTTAGGGCTGGGGTGGGGTGTGGGAGTAATGGGGAGTGATGGCTAACGGGTACAGGGTTTCTTTTCGGAGTGATGCACACATTTCAAGCTTATATTGAGGTGAGAGTTGCAGGACTTGCTGCCACTTTTTAGCTGGGACGGGGTTAGGGGGGGCAGGGCAGGCAGTAGTACCTCCTTCTAACAGCCCCTGCACCAGCCTCCTGGGGTTACCCAGAGGGAGCTGCAGCAGGAATAGGGGCAGGGCCTGGGGGAAAATCCAGGAGCTGGTGCTGGCCTTCCCCCTCCCCCCACCCCTGGCCCCCGCTGAGCATGGTACCCTGGGCCCTGCAGTGTTTTTTAGGGAAGCTCAGGGCCAGCGGGAAGGGAGTGAGTGTTGGGGATGGGGGCTGCCGGTGGCTGGGGAGGATCCCAGGAAACCAGCAAAGGAAGAACAAATGTAACCTGACCTGAGTCCCCACGGCAGCCTCAGGAGGCAGATCTTATTATTCCCATTTTATAGTGGAGAAAATTGAGGCCCAGAGGAGCTAAGACGAAGGTATTTGCCCCAAGCCACATAGCTGGGAAGTGGCAGAGGTGGGCCTAGAACCCAGTCTTCTGCTTACCAACCCCACTACGCCCACGCTGCCAAAGTTGTTTTGACATTATTATTCCATAATTTTCAACGACCGGCATTCCTGGAGGGGGCTGTTGACCAGGCCATTTAGAACAGGCAATACATTTATTTCATTCTGGCTCAGTGATATAACTGGGACTTGGTTTTGCCTGTCCACAATATACCATTATAAAGAAATTTGTTTGGGCTAATTTTTGGAATATCCGGGCATGGTCCTGATGAAGCAGTTAGGAGGGTAGGCAGCCTGGGATCCAAAAACAAGGGTTTCCTGTGGTGCAGCTGTCCCCATTATTTGCAGCAGGTCTGTATGCCCCTGATGCCCAAGAACCCCAGGCCCAATGTGGGCTCAGCCCTCTCCAGCCCCAGCTGGCAGCACCAAGCTCAAATCACAGCCCAGGAGTTGGCAAGAGACGTAAGGAGGGGATTTCCCAGGCCTGGTTTCCCTCCAGCCTCTTTTCCACCCAGACTCCCTCTTGATCCCTTCCTCCTGCCTGTCCCTAGGTCTGGGGGAAAAAAAAGCCCCCTGTGGGCATCTGGTGTCCTCAAGAATGACAAGGTGAGAAGGTACACGTGGGATAGAGGAGAGGCCAGGACTGGGTGGCCTCACCCCCACACCCGGGCTGCCCCACCTCTTCCCCAGTTCCTCCCTTCACTGCTGGGTCTCCTGCTGCCTTCCTGGCAACCCGACCCTGCTTTATTCTGTCTCTCTCTGCGTCTGTCTCTCCGTGTGTGTATCCCTCTCTCTCTCTGTCACCCCCATCAGACAATCTCCTAAAACTCCTATCTCAGCCTCCTAACAGTCTCCAGGCCATCCTGTGTGGGCTGATACGACCAGCCTTTCTCAAGCACTGTTTTCATTTCACTAGCAACAGCCAGAAGGAGGCCTGGTGACGCAGGTGTTAAAACTCTCGGCTGCTAACTGAGAGGTTGGTGGTTCGAACCCACCAGCCACTCCGTGGGAGAAAAGATGCGGCAGTCTGCTTCCAAAAAGAGTTCAGACTTGGAAACCCTACGGGGCAGTTGTACTCTGTCCTGTAGGGTCGCTATGAGTCAGAATTGATGGCACCCAACAACCATGACAGCAACATCCAGTAACCCTGAGCCAGGCGTGGGGGTTCCACAGTGAAAGGGCGCAGCACAGGCCTTCAGAAGTCAGCAGTGGAGCCAGCAGTTATGATATAAGCATCTGGAGCTCCAGCAGCCCCAGCAGAAGGACCGTGGGGTCACATGGTCTAGAGACTACAGCTGCTCTCCATCGCTGCTAATCCTGCCATTCAAGGCTCTGCAGAACCTCACCTCGTGCTCGCTGGTGGCCGTCCTCTCTCACACCCATGTTCCCCCATTGTGCACGTGGAAAGCAGCATGGCGTAGGAAATAGAAAGTCAGAGGACCGGGGTTTGAGTTCAGCCTCGGTTTACTTGTGGGTGGAATGGGCCTAATTACAAAGGCTACCTCAGGGCCAGCAGGGAGGGGGCGAGCATTGGGGACGGGGCCTGCAAGTGGCCAGGGTCGTCACGTGTACTGAATATTCTGAAACTGCAAACAAATGTTAGCATCATCTTCATGTCCTTCCCCGAGTATGCACATGTCAGCTTACTCAGTTTGCTGATCCCAGGCCCCCTTCCCTCAGGATGTCACTATGGGATTAACCATTTTAATCCAAGTTTTTCAGGGCAATAATGCTAATGTGCTCATTCTTGAAAAGAGTACATGCCCTGGGGTTGAAGCCTGTGTGCTTTATCACAGAGAGGTGAGTGAGGTGGATGCCGTGCCCTGTGTGCCAGGGTCAATGGGGGACTATTTGAGGGTGCAGCTAGGGGACCCTCTTGTCATCCCTGAAGTCGGGCCTCCAGGAAGCTGCCTGCACAGAGTGTGGGAAGCCTTGTCCAGGGGAGGAAAAGGGAAAGAGAGCTGTTACGAGAGGTCTATCACTTTATCAACCTATAGTGTGCACGGGTGCGAGGAAGGAGGAAAATGAGACACAGCTGCCACATTGCGGAAGCAGAAACACGTGAAACCACAGTGCCATCTGTGGCAGGCTGTGACATGGCCCCGGCGGTCAGCACTGTGGGCTGTCAGAGCCAGGACACAGGAGAGCGGGAGGGACCTCCTCACCACGCAACCCTCCCTCATTCTCCTCCTGAAGGTTGGCCTTGAAGTGAGCCCCCGCCCCCCTCTCACACCCATACACACGCACGCACGCATGCTCGCACACGTGCGCTTGGAATCCTGAGCTGGCAACAGGCAGGGGTCATGATCAACAACCTCCGCATCAGATCAGCCTGGAAACCAGCAAAGAGAAAATAACGAACTGCTCCTATCAGCAGAGACGGCGTGATAAGGGTCCAGTGGGGCAAAATGAGACTGTGGAGAGCCAAGGTGATCAGAGGCAGGGTGGCCAGGAAAAGTCGGAGCCTGGGGGGCAGCTGGGGGGCCCCCTTTTCCTCAGTGTGCTGGAAACTAAGAGAGGTTGTCTTGGCCACGCTACCCCCACCTCCGCCTCTCAAAGTCCAGCAGCCAGATTGGAGACTGGCTGTGAGCTTTCTAGTTTTTGATGAGAAAGTTCCTCTACAACCTCTCCCTTCCAGAACCTTCTTGCTGTCCATGTCCTTTCCTCTCCTGCATTACCTTTTCAGACATCCCAGCAGATATAAGTCTTTAGTCCTTTCCCTGAGAGTCTGGCATATTGGGCAGGGTGTCCCAAAAAGACCTTGACAGAGCCTTAGACACCCCACTCATTCATTCACTCCTTCATGCATTCACTTATGGGAAACTCCCTCAGCCTGCCTGCTTATGGGCCCCTCCACCTAGTCTTCTGTTGTCTGAAGAGAGGTGAAGGTCATCAGGGTCACCACTCGGACACCTCTCAGTGGGGATGGGCGCAGGGCCTTCGGACACTTACCAAGCACAGAGCCCAACACCTCTGCCCACTGCAAACGTCACCAAATTCCCAAATCCCTCAGCTGTGGGCTTTGGTTGCTGTGGGTCAGCCCTGCTGCCTGTGAAGGGGACTGGCAGTATCACCATTTCTGTGTGGAGGGGACACACCACAGCCCAGAACCTCTCCTCTGGGCAAAAGGAAGCGCTCAACTCGGGGATCTGGGGGTTCGGGTTTCAGCCCAGAACCTCTCCTCTGGGTAAGAGGAAGCGTTCAGCTCAGGGATCTGGTGGTTCAGGTTTCAGCCCAGGTCCCCCTGCAAGTTTCATGCTTCTAGCACAGCCCCCTTGAGGAGCTCAGAACAGCCTCCCCTCACACCATCTCTGGGAGGGACAGGAGTTATCTTTGCTTTTATTTGTTTGTAAGTAATAGTACTTACACACTGTGTCTGCATCCTTACAACAGCGCCGAGGCGGGCATCCTTACCTCCCATTACAGATGAGAGACTTAGAGAAATGAACCAACTTGCCCAAGATCCATAAAAACTGGTTGCTGTGGAGTCAAGTCTGATTCAGGACAACCCATGTGTACAGAGTAGAACTGTGCTCCATAGGGTTTTCAATGGCTGATTTTTCAGAAGTAGATCGTCAGGCTTTTCTTCCAAGGTGCCTCTGGGTGGGCTTGAACCCCCAATCTTTTGGTTAGTGGCTGAGCACATTAACTGTTTGCATTACCCAGGGACTCCACCCCTTGAGAAATAACCCCATTTCCCCTCCGTGACCCATTTCTTCCACTGCTCCCTCTCCCTTCTTGCCAGAGGGTGGGGGAGACACCTTGGCTCCTGAGGTCCAGTGAATGGAGGAGGAGGTGGGGGTTCTTCGTCTGAAGGGCTCTGGGGTTCCCCACCACTGACTCACACCTCCCCGTCTGCAGGCTGGCCCAGTCGCTATGGGCCCTCTTCACCTCTTCTCTGGCCATCTCGCTAGTGTTTGCCGTCATCCCCTTATGCCGCGACGTGAAGGTGCTGGCCTTGGTCATGGCGCTGGCGGGCCTGGCCATGGGCTGCATCGACACGGTGGCCAACATGCAGCTGGTGAGGATCTACCAGAAGGACTCGGCTGTCTTCCTCCAGGTGAGACCAGCCAGCAGCAGCGGGGCGGGGGTAGAAGAGCATAGGGGAGTGGGCTCCTCAGCCCTAGTCCCTCTTCACCTCTCTTTTCTTTGCACCCCAACTTCTGACCCTCTCCCCAGACCCAGACATCCTTTTTCTGGGCCAGGGTGGTGACTCAGAAGAGCACAGGGCCTCAGCCCAGCGTTACCACTTAGCAGCTGTGCCATGCTGGGCAGCCATGCCATATCTCTGGACTTTGGTCTCCATCACTAAAGCAAGGCCATGATCCCTGCCTGCCTTGCAGGATTGTCACAGGAGTCTAAGTGCCAATGAGAGAAGGTTCTCTGTGAACCGTAAAAAGGGTGCGTGGAGGAATTGCCGTTTTCTTTCCTCCTCCCAGGCGCTCAGGATTCCAGTCGAGCCGTTCCCCTTATGCCTCCTTTCTGTCTGGGTGTTAGCTGGTGGATGCTAAGGGAGCAGCCCCCAGGTGGGAGTTTGTTGTTGTTGTTGGGTGCCATCGAGTCAGTTTTCAACTCATAGCGACCCCATGTGACAGAGTAGAGCTGCCACATAAAGTTTTCTGGCTGTAAGCTTTAAGGGAGCAGATTGCCAGGCCTCCCGTGGAGCCGCTGGATGGGTTCGAACTGCAAACCTTTCAGTTAGCTTAAGCATTGTGCCACCAGGGCTCCTTAGTTGGGGGTTGAGTTTTGGGAAAAAAGAGAGAGAGGGAGGGAGGTCACTGTCACCAAAGATATCCCAGCCAAGAGGACAGTTGAGAGAGAAGCTTCCCTCCTGGGCAGTGAGGAGGGCCTGTCCTGCTGCCACCTTCCACTACTCCCCCCACCCCGGGGTCCAGGCAGCGCCTAGGACAGGGCCCCAGGCTGCGGGTGGCACGCTGCAGGCACTCTGGGCAGAAGGCCAGGCCACGGCTTCCTTGGCCTGAGGCTGAGCCACCCCCTGACCCCGTCCCGTTCTCCTCCTCCCCAGGTGCTCCATTTCTTTGTGGGTTTCGGAGCTCTGCTGAGCCCCCTGATCGCCGACCCCTTCCTCTCTGAGGCTGACTGCTCACCTGCCAACGGCACAGCCAACACCACCTCCGGCAGTCACCTGTTCCACGCCCACCGGGTCCTGGGCCAGCACCATCCTGACGTCCTGCCTCAGACCAACCAGACACCCCCCGGGCTTCCCCCACAGGACGGGGCGGGGACCCGCGTGTCCTCTGCCTTCTGGATCATGGCCCTGATCAATGTGAGCGCCACTGGGCAGGGCTGGGCGGGGAGTTAGTGGACAGTGCCACACACCTCCAGCTCCCAGTGCAGTGTTCCGGCTTGGAGAAGCATGCTGGGGTTTGCGGGGTGCTGCCACGAAGGAGGGGGGCGGGAGAACTGACGCCCCTGGTGCATCTGAACACTAAGGGCTTTGGAAGAGATCTCCCTCGAGGACTTTTAGCGGTGACATTTGGTGATTATGATTCTCAAGGAATGAGCAGGTTTAGCATAAAGAAAACCAGGGTCAACTTTCCAGGTACCTCAGGCTCCAGAGAAAACCGGCTCTTTCAGCCAAGGCAGATGAAGTCCCCGCTGCGGGGCATATCAGGCTCCTCTCCAGGGGCCTCGCTCTGCATGCCCTTCTTCTGGGCCCCACTGTCTAGGTGGGCTCCTGAGGAAGCTGGGGATAAACAGGAGTGCCTCTGAGGGGCACTGACTGCTGGGCAGCCTGGGTGTAGCAAAGCAGAGGAGACCCCCCACCTTGTTCTGTGACTGGTAGATACTGAGGACCCCTCTGCACCCCCCTCTCCACTCTTCTTCCCCGGCCAAGTCAGCACTGCCTCTGGTCTCTGGCTGGAAACCTTGCCTGGTGCTCTGCAACCAGAGACAGCATCCTCCACACCAGCCCAGTTTGGGGCTAGAGGAGGAGATGGGGAGCTCCCCACTCTTGCTGGCTTGGGATGGACTGTTGGGAACCCCAGAAGCAGTCCTGGCCTCCTGGCTTGGGCCCAGCATGGAGCTGGGGGTCGGGGTATCACAGGAAGCCATTAGCCCAGCTGTGGGATGGAGGCGTGGCATTGCTTGTCACCTGACTCAGAGCCCCCCTTTGCACTAGGCAGACTTGTCACCTTTCTGAGGCCGGGCCTCGGGGTGATGGCGTGCACATAGCACCGAAAGGAGTCTCTGAGACCACCCGGTCCCACTGAGGAGGGGCAGGGGCGTCATACCGTCCCTGGCTCAAGGTGCTGATAAGGGGCTAGTAAAGGCCAAGCCAGGCTGGAACCCCTGGCTCCCAGCACAGACCTGCAGCCTGCTGCCCGAGTCGCTGCTCCTTCACCCTTTCTTCTCACCTGCAACTCCACATTCCCGATACCAGAATCTTCACCGGAGGCCCTCAGAAACACCCCCACCCTGCCCCTGCCCTTCTACGCCAGTGCCCATCCATTGTTCTGGAAACAATGCAGTTGAGCCTGTGCCTTCCAGGGGTACCTGTCGAGGACCAAGCCTTGTCAGTACTAACAGGCTGAGACCAGGAAGCCAGAAGGTCTGGCTAAGCCCGAGGTCTGTTCTCTCTTGCCCCAGAGGGTGCAGTTGGAGAGACTTTTGTTTGCTGCAGGATTTCCGGACTTTTTCCATTGCCTTGTGTCTGAAAATAAACAGTCCCCCCTAGAAGAGAATGGAGCTGTGCCGGCGTGTGGGCACACCCCCACTCCCATGCACACCCACCTGGCATCTGCTTACTTTTAAACAGGAGCTTGCCTTCCTGAATGGTATCCTTATCCTAAAGATCTTGTGTGGATGGTCCCTGCCAGTCCTCTGTGAAGGCCTCAGACCAGTTCATTCTGGTTCAAATCCCAAGTTCCCAGGCTGGTTGAGGACCAGTTCTGAGAACCACTAGTAGAGCCATAAAACCCACCTATTGCCATTGAGTTGATTCTGACTTATAGCGACCCTGTAGGGCAGAGTAGAACTGCTCCGTAGAGTTTCCAAGGAGCACCTGGTGGATTTGAACTGCCGACCTTTTGGTTAGCAGCTGTAGCTCTTAACCACTACGCCACCAGGGTTTCCACTAGTAGAGCAGTGGCTCTCAAAATTTATTATACATAAGAATCACCTGGGGATCTTAATAAACTGTAGATTCTGATTCAGTGTATCTGGGGTGGAAATGCAAATTCAAAGCCCTGCTCTCCACTCAGCTCCCTGGAAGGCCTGCCTGAGTGATCACACCCCTTGAACAGCTGTTTCCTCTTGGCCTTTACCACTGGCGTTGGCCACTTGAGGCCTCTGTGTGTGGGCTTCCTGTTTCCCCCCTTCACACTGGAGGGGGGACTCCCTGAGGGCAGAGGCTGCGACTCCTCCCACTCAGGGCTGACTTGTGGCTTTGCCAGCTGACTGTGTCTGAGGCTGAGTGGTGGTCTTTTTTTTTTAATTGTGCTTTAGGTGAAAGTTTCCAGAGCAAATTAGTTTCTCATCCAGCAGTTTATACACAGATTGACATTGGCGTGGCATTCTTTTTGTTTTGTTTTGACAAGTCAATGCAGCTTTTATTTTATTTTCTATTGTGGTGAAAATACACACAACAAAACATTTGCCAATTCAGCCATTTCTCCATGGACAATGCAGTGGACTTTGAGTGATTTTTGAGTGTGGAGAGAGGCCACCAAAGTTACCACAGGGAGGTGTCCACACAGGAGCGGGCCGGGTCACACCTTTCCGGTGACTTGAGAACATGTCTGTGTGGGCCAGCCTGCTTGGGGAGGCTCCCCCCGAGCTATCTCTAGATTTCCATCTCTACCTGGTAGGCTTCTGGGAGCCTGAGGAGCCCATTAGCTGGCGGCTTGCACCAGCTCCAGGGCTTCCTCTCTTTCCCAAGCCAAAGGATCTGGGATGGAGTCACAGCAGGAGGACAGAGGTTACACATGATGAAGGCTTCCTGGCAGCCAGGGTGGTTAGACTCAGGCAGGCGCATCCAAGGGAGGTGCTGGCGGCTTCTCCAGGCAACCTCGGAAGCAGGAGATGCTTTCTCATTGCTCTGGGGAGTTTCTGGAAAGCCTCACTGGCTTCGTGTAAATAGCAGTGAACTTCACCTCAGGCTAGCCTGTGCCTAGTGCTTCTAAGCAGGCACTTTCCAAAAGAAAGAAGCCCATGTCTGTTTTCCAGTTTAAATCCCAAGCCCGAGGACAGCCTTCGTACCCTCCTCAGACAGGCCCTGGGGCAGAGCAGTGCTGGACAGAGAACCAGGACGCCTGGTCCCAGCTTGGTGACCAAGTCAGCTGTGTTGCCAGGGTGGTTCTCCTCACAGGCTCACTCACTCCTCATCTCTCCGCTCTCTTCCAGCTCTAACAGGTCATGATAAGTGACAACTTCTTGGAGACTCAGTAGCCTATCTGGAAAATGGGAATAATTTCCCCCGGCACATTTTGTAGAGTTGTCATGAGCAAACGTAAACTGGTTTATAACGCATTGCATCATCTCCTAGCGCGGAGCAGACAGAGGCGCCTCACTCCGGCACCGTTCTGTGTCTCTGGCACCTCTTCTGTGCCAGCAGAGGCCTGGCAGGAGCTCAAGCTCTGCACGTGACAAGTACCTGTCTTTTCAGGGAAACGCATGTGGTTAAGGTTGGGCAGAAATTACACCAAGTCCGCCCCTACTCCCCTGGCTCCATTAGCTGGACATGGCCCTTAAGTGGGCACCCTTGCAGAAGAGCTGGCTTCTCCAGCATGGTGCAGACGCAGAGTGTGGGTACCACGTGTGGAGGTGTGTGCCCTGGGCCAGGGGCGGGAAGGGTGGATGGGGGCAGGCTCCCCTGACCCTCTGCCCCCCAGCTCCCAGTGCCCGTGGCTGTGCTGCTTCTGCTGTCCAAGGAGCGGTTGCTGACCTGCTGCATCCAGAGGAGTCCCCTGCTCCTGTCTGCAGACGAGCTCGCCCTGGAGACGCAGCCTCCGCAGAGGGAAGACCCCTCCTCACTGCCCGCAAAGCTTCAGCCAGACCCAGGTGGGGCTCTAAGGCACTCATCCTCACAGCCCCACATGAACAGTGCACACACACCTACCAGCTCCCAGCACAGTGTTCTGACTCTGGGAAATGTGCTGGGCCTTGGGGGTGCTCTCACAAAGGAGGGGGACAGGAGAACGGACGCCCCTGGTGCATCTGAAGACAAGGGGGTAAGAGATCTCCTCCAAGGTCCTTTAGGATTGTAATTCTCAAGGAGTGAGCAGTCCTTCCCTAGAATGCCCCTCCCCTAGTGTGAGTGAATCTAGGTCACAAGCAATAACAGCTGGAACAAAGCATTGGCCCTGACTTTGGGATGGTCTCATGGGGCAGGAGATAGAGCAAACTGGCTAAGAGAAGGGGGAAGCAAGACTGCTGGCTTCAACCTCCATTCTGCCTAATCCCACCTGTGTGACCTTGGGCAAGTTACTTAACCTCTCTGAGCCATGGTTCTGCCAGGGCTATGGAGTGGACAGGGGCTGACAGCTAGAGAAGGTGGGAGGCAGTACATGGCAGACACTCCTCTGGGCAAGCCGAGGGAGGGGGAGAAGCTGGAACCCACCCTGTGTCTTCTCCAGGGCATGAGAACCTGTTCAGCTGCTGCCAGAGGAAGAACTGCAGAGGGGCCCCTTATTCCTTCTTCGCCATCCACATCACAGCCGCCCTGGTCCTGTTCATGACAGATGGCATGACGGTGAGCCTGTCCTCCCATGTCCTCCTTGCTGGGGACCCAGCTCCCCTGGGACTCAAGTCTGGGTGTGGCAGGAGAAAGAGAGGGGCATCTAGGTTTGCTAGAGACCTTACCTAGCAAACCTGCTCCTGTCTGCAGACGAGCTGGAGTTTGGTTGATTCAGAGCTTTAACGAAATCTCCTAGGGGAGCCTGTCTCCAGAATCGCCCACAGCCCCTCGGTCCTGCGGGCTTGTTTAATTTCCATTAACTCCATGGATATGAGCCTATTTCGTTTGTTAGCAAGCACAATCTACTCACTCTTTTTAAGGAGCAGGGAGGGCCCTGTTCCCCTAGTTAGAGGTCATGTCACATAAATTCAAGGGCAGTTTGCTTCCTGGAATAGATTACAAGCCCAGGCTTCTCAAGCCAATGTTGGAACAAGCCCCAGGCAGGATTTGTGCCCAGCTATGGACTCAACGGCACCTACCAACAACAATTCATCCTTCTAGTGACCTCTGTAATACTCTACCCTACCTTTCTCGGAAACCTCTTTAGGGTTAGATGAGCACAGTTTTGAACAGTTGATGGATGAATGGATTGCGTGGGGGGTCCAGTGGGGGGGACCTAAGAAACTTTGGTGGCCCTGTGGAAAGTGCTCGTGACAGAGCTGGTTGACTTCCAGTTCCCAGTGTGACCTTGGACAAGTCACTTCTCTCTGCTCTCTCATCTATAAAATGAGATGCTTGTGCACACCTTCTTTTTTCTGTTCTTTTTTTAAGCTGTGGCACCCTTCAACAAAAAATCTGAGGAATCCTCATAAATAAGACACGTAGTAGAGCTCTGCTGTGGTTGAAGGGGGGAGCAGTGCCTGCCCGGCCCCCCAGGGAGATCCAGACACTTCCCTGGAGCCCCTAGGCCTCCACTGGGGCAGTCGGTCAGCTGTGGCCCTTAGCTCTGTTCTCTTCTCAGGCCTGTATGGTCTTGGCTCTGAGCCTACCCTTCACTGAGCGTCTGGGAGCAAGACCAGCCCTCCGTCAGCCCTCACCACACCTGCCCCAGCCTAGGCTTCCTCTGTGAGGTTTAGGGTCTTCTGGGCTACAGCTGTGCTCATTGGGGCCTGGTCTTTCCACAGGGGATGTATTCTGCCTTTGTGTACAGCTATGCAGTAGAGAAACCACTGTCTGTGGGACACAAGGTGGCTGGTTACCTCCCTAGCCTCTTCTGGGGCTTCATCACCCTTGGCCGGCTCTTCTCCATTCCCATCTCCTCACGAGTGAAGCCAGCCACCATGGTTCTCATTAATGTGGTAAGTGGCCTCCTGTTCACCCCTGGTGCTGCCACTGCCCCAGGACATTTGCTCGGGACTAGACAGGGTGGGGAGAAGAGATGCTGGTGAAGAAGGGATGGAAATACAGGCTGTGGAGCCTCAGATTTCATACCCATAAAGGGAAGGGCTGCAGGCGGTGATGACTGCTGTGTACAGAGCAGATCCCAGCTGATGACGGCCAGGAGTGTGAGGGAGCAGGTGCTGGCCCTGACCTTCCCGTATTCACACTGGTGCCCAGCTGGTCAAGCCCTCTGGGCCTGTGGCAGCCGTGGAGGTCAGGGATCCTTCAGAATCACCATCTCTGGGCTGGGGACTGAAGTTGGCATATTAGAGCTCTCCCAGGTGATTTTTGTTTTTAATATTTATTTTATTTTGGTGAAAATATACAGAGCAAAACATGCACCCATTCATCAATTTCTACATATATAGTCCAGTGACATTGGTTACATCCTTCACTCAGTAATCTCACTGTTTCTACTCAATTGTTTCACCACCATTAACTTAGACTCACTGCCCCCCTAATCTTCTTATCTATGCTTTAGAGTTACTATTATCAATTTAAGGAGCCCTGGTGGCACAGTGGTTAAGGACTCGGCTGCTAACTGAGAAGTGGGTGGTTCGAATCTACCAGCTGCTCTGAGGGAGAAAGATGTGGCAGTCCGCTTTCATGAAGATTTACAATCTTAGAAATCCCATGGGGCAGTTCTACTTTGTCTTATAGAGTCGCTGTGAGTTGGAAGCAACTTGACAGCAATGGGTTTATTGTCAATTTGGTCTCATACATATATATATATATATATAATATATATATAATCTTTTAAAAGAGCTCAGTACTCAAGGCATATGTCTTTACTAATTGAGCTAAACTGCTGTTTAGTTTCAAGATGACTTCAGGGAAGAGTTTTGGTTAGAGATTTAGCCAGTATCTCAGGGCAGTAGATTCACAGGTTCCTCCAGTCTTAATGGGTTCAGTAAGTATGGAATCTTTAAGAATTTAAAATTCCTTTCCACATTTTTCTCCCTTTTGATCAGGATCCATCTATTGTATCCATGATCAAAACGTTCGGTAATGGTAGCCGGGCACCATCCAGTTCTTCTGGTCTTATGACAGAGGAGGTAGTAGTTCATGGAGGCAGTTAGTCCTGTAGTCCAATTCCTTCTCTGATTTCTGGGTCTCCTTCTTCCTCTGTTGTTTCCCATGAATAGAGACCAATTGTTGATCTTGGATGGCAGCTCGCCAGCTTTAGGAACTGTTGCCTTCAGGGAACTGGCCTGCCTGAGAGGCAGGAGGCCCAGGTTCGAGCAATGGGTGAAGACTCTTGTCCTGTGTGCCTCCTCATCTCAGCTGTGACAACAGAGTCCAGATTAGAGACCCTGTAGGGAGGAACCTTGGAGGTCGTCTAGTCCAACCTCCCACCAGAGCTTGAATCACCTCTCTAACATCCATAACAACCCTTCCAAGGGTTCCTCCAGTGACTGAGAACTCACTACCTTTCCAGATAGCCAAATCCACTGTAAAAAAGTACTTTCCTAGGTTGAGTGTCTAGCAGAGAGAAGCTTAGGCAATAGTATTCAGGCTACAGAGACCAAGGATCATGAGCCCCAAGAAGGGCCCTGGGATTACCTCTGCAGGTATAGGGGATAGGATCCCAACACATATTCTGGGGGGACACAATTCAATCCATTACAGATTACAAAGTCTTGAGTTGAAGAGTAAGGGTCCAGGCACCAATGGTGGCCAGCCTTGGCTTCCTCCTCTAGGTAGGCCGTGAGGCCAGTTGCTAAGAGAGAGCAGAGCATGGGTGGGAATCTGGGTTTGAGAATGAAGAATGTCTGAAGCCTCCATGTGTGTTAGGCACTGATGTTTTTATAACTCACCCAGAGTGCTTGTGTTTGGAAGGAAAATCATATTTCTGGGCCCAACCTAGGATCAGTGAATCAAAATGTCCAGGGGAAAGGCCAAGCAATCTGTATATTTAACAAACATGCCAGGGGGTTCATATCATCAAGCAAGCTTGGGAAAACACTGTCCTAGAACAGGTGATTCTCAAATACATTAGACTCACTGGAGGTGCTCTTAGGAAATACAGATTCCTGGGCTTGGGCCCCAGAAATTCTGACCCAGGAGGTGTGAGAGGAGACTGTGTCTCTGATCAGGTGCCTTTGGTGTGCAGTCTGTTTGCGAACAGCTGATGCTGCAGCTGGTGAAGCGATATCTCGCATTAACTGCAACCTCTCCCAAGTATTCCTCTCATTTTTATTTTATTTTTTAATATATTTTATTTTTTTAGTTGTTGTTGTTGAGGATATGCACAGCAGAACATATACCAATTCAACAATTTCTACATGTGCAATTCAGTGACATTGATTACATTCTTTGAGTTGTGCAGCCATTCTCACCCTCCTTTTCCGAATTATTCCTCCCCCATTAACATAAACTCACTGCCTCCCAAGTTTCCTATCAAATCTTTTAAGTTGCTGTTGTCAGTTTGATCCCATGTAGATAGTTCTTAAAAGAGCACAATGCTCAAAGCAGTCTTTTCTTTACTAGTTAAGCTAAACTATTGTTTGGTTTTAAGAAGAGTTCAGGGGATATTTTTGGTTTGGGTTTAAGGTTTAAAGATTATCTCATGGCAGTAGTTTCAAGGGTTCATCCAGCCTCCATGGCTCCAGAAAGTCTGGAGTCTATGAGAATTTGAAATTCTGCCTTACATTTTTTCACCTTTTGATCAGGATTCTTTTGTAGAATCTTTGATCAGAACGTTCAATAATGGTAGCCGGGCACCATCCAGTTCTTCCGGTCTCTTGGCAAAGGAGGCAGTTGTTCATGGAGATAATTAGCGATGGATTCTGTTTCCTCCTCCTATTCCTGACTCTTCTTCTTCCTCTGTTGCTCCAGGCAGACAGAGTTGTCTCATTTTTAAATCCCAAGTCGCCCTGTTCTCACCTTTCTCCTGGGTCTCCACAATCACTTACTGACTCAATGAGCACGTACTTGCGAAAGGGCCTGCTGGGACTGCAGGGCAGCCAAGTTCTGTGAGACAAGGTCTCTGCCTTTAGGGAGCTTACAGTGTACAAAGGGGGAGGAGATGGCTGCTCAGATCTCTTCAGAGTCCCCTAGTGTCAGATGAGTGAAATTTACTAACTGCAGTAGGTCCCTGTGAGAAGCAGAGCTGCTTCCAACTGGGGTCACCTGGTGGGGGGGCACCATGAAGGAAGAGGAATAGTCGGTCAGTTTTGAAGGATGGAGAGAGAATTCCAAGTGGTGAAGATGGCTGAGAGATGGTGGTGGGCAGATGCAGTTGGGGGAGGAGTCTTGGCAAAGGGGACACAGAGCAAAGGTAGAGAGCTCAGTGTTATCAAACAGAGAACTCGGGGCTGACCCGTTTGTGTTGGCTGATATAAGGCTGCAAAGCCTCGAGTGTCCGAGTGTGGACCTTACTGGGTTGGCAGTCAGGAGCCAGTGGAGGCCTGGTCCTAACATTCGTGGAGCCTGGGGCAAGAATTCACACGGAGGCCCACGTACCATATATATAAATATTTTTAATTTATAAATCAAGCTGACATACTTTTAAATAAAATAGGCTCTACCTTTCTACCTTGATCAATATACCTCCGTAACGACCCAGAAAGCCATGTTTGCATGTAGCATTCTCAGACTCCTTGGAGTTCTGTGCTGGAATGTGGCAGCTGGTGTGAGCCCCTGTCCCGTGGCCTGCCCCCTTCTCTTTCCACCCCAGCTCTGTCCCATGCCACAAGGGCCGTGGACACACACGTGTGGATACCTCAGCCTGCTTGTCCAAGCTCCATCCATACCCTCCACATACAGCCACCCTCTGGCCACCCCTTAGGCCTAGGGGTGCACACGCCAGTGGCCTGGTGTGGTCGACCCTCAGGATGATGGACCTGGGGCCTCTGGGCCTGCTCAGAGCCATTGGGGCAGGGAGCAGTGGCGCCCTGGATACCTGGTGCCTGCTGTTGAAGGGGGTGTGTGGGTTCTGCGTGGGCTCGGTCTCTCAGCCCTGAGGATCCCCTGTCCTCTGGGGAAGGGCACAACCAGAACATGGGCTGTGAAAGCTCAGGCCCAGGGCAGGGTCCTCCCTTCCCAGGTGTGAGAACATCGAAAGATGGTGAACAGGAGAGCGGTAGGGTCATAATGGTGACTCAGGAGGATTAACTGGGGAGTGCCAGGAGGTTAACCAGTGAGGAGGAGGAAATGGAAGGCAGAGAATCCAGTCAGGTGAGAGTGAAGGAGGTGGGGGAGGGCAAAAGGTTAGGGTTAGTGGTCAGAGTGGGGAAGGTGGAAGGGGAGTGTCTCAGTTACCCAGTGCTGCTGTGACTGAAATACCACAAGTGAGTGGCTTTAACAGGCAGAAATTTATTCTCTCACAGTTTAGGAGGCTAGAAGTCCAAATTCAGGTCACTGGCTCTAGGGGAAGGCTTTCTCTGTCTGTCAGCTCTGGAGGAAGGTCTTTGTCTCTTTGAGCTTCTGCTCCTGGGTGATCTTCATGTGGCTTGGCATCTCTCTTCCCCCGTCTCTGCTCACTGGCTTGCTTGTTGAATCTCTTTCATATCTCAAAAGAGATTGACCTAAGATACACACTACACTAATCCTGCCCCATTAACATAACAAACACAACCCATTCCCAAAATGGGATTATAATCACTGGCATAGAGGTTAGGATTTACAACACGTATTTTTGGAGACCGCAATTCAGTCTATAACAGGGAGGTTCCAAGTATATTGCCAAGGACCATGTAAAAATGCTTAATTCTTTCAGCCTCAGTGACAGAGGGCTGAGTGTGCCCATGGCAGAGAGGGAGAGTGGGCAGGGAGGAGTGTGCCCCTGGCACAGGGTCACTGCACCATGGGTGTCTGAATGGAGTTGAAGTGATGGCTAAGGTGTGTATCAGGCAGGGTTCTTGGCTGCAAGCAACAGAAACAGACTCTGGCCAACCTAGTCAGAAAATAATTATTA